ATATGCATATGTACTACAAGGATTTGGTTGAATCTGGTGTTGACCCAAAGAGCAAGCCATATGATGAAGTGAGTCAGGAGAATTGAGAGTACATAATTGAAACATTTTACATGGATCCAAAATTTCAAGTAACTTTTATAAGCTATGCAAATTAATATCCACTTTTTATTCCCAATTGTGTACTAATTATGTTTTTTGTTTATAGGCAAAATATAAGAAAAATGCGAAAAATTGTGTCAAACTGCCATACAACCACTCGATGAGTTCAAAGGCCGTTCAGTTTGCCATATATGAAAGGGTGTTATACTTTAGCATTTGCTTCCTAAATTTTAATATATAAAAAAATTATAAATTTGAATATTGATATTTTGATTAATTGTAATGGAGGGACCCTATGACTGATGAGCCACCCCCACATTGTTGATTTTTTTTCACAATTTCGATGTGAACAAGAAGGGGTGAGTGGGTTTCTTCTGAGGCAGAGTCAAGATATGTAAGTATTTCAAATTGTAGAAAATTATGTTGTTTTTTTTAAATAAATTTTTATGATACACTCACTAATTGGGTTTAAATACATTAAATTGTAGGAGTGGATGAAAGAATTGTGTATGCAGAACTTAGCAGAGGGTGTAGAGCCATTGACACATGATGAAATTACATGCATAGTCCTTGGCAGCCGATCTGGATATAAGAAAGGATTTGGACATGGCCCGAAAACCTTTATCCTCTACTCAGTCATTCAGATTCATTGCTGAGTATCGAGAACAAGCAAATATGATAAAAGAGTTGTGAGCAACTGTTGATTCTCTTTAAAAGGAACATGATGAAATGAAAGTGAAACTAGAGAAGTTTGAAGGCGCGCAACAATAAATAATGCAACAACTTTTGCAGATGCAACTTCAAATGCAACGTGCTTTGCAGGGCACCTCAACTAATGCGGACATGTCACCTGAGTCTTAGTTAGTATCTTTTTACTTTCGTTTTAAGTTCAACACTTAAGAAGTATAAAAACTAAAAGTTGGAGCTACCGAGGCAAATCAGCTTGTTGCCACTCCGTTTGTTGTGAAAGCGAATGGAGAACAACTAAAAATTTCAATACTTAAGAATTAGAAAACCCGTATCTTTTTTAAAAATTTGATTGATAATTTATTATTGTATTTTTTTTCTTTTTTGTAACAGATGAATTGAACTTGTGATGACAATCTTGTTCTACCATTTTTGAAAGCTATCAAGGCTATCACCTATTGACTTGCATGCTTGACAAGGCAGCTAACTAACAGTTTCACTTTGTGGTAGTGTTTCTCATTCACTGCATTTTCTTATTTGTGTTTCATGTTGATGTAGGAAATGCTGCAGAAGAAAATTGCTACAAAATACTTCGGTGACATTTTAGTTTTGGGGTAGCCCATTTGATGTGATGTCCCTTACTAGCTACTACTATGTTTTCCCTCTTATCTTGTGAAATTTGTTAAAATATTGTTTATGTTATTTAATTTGTTGTGATTGGTGTGATATTATATATCGAGAAGAGTGGAGTAGTTGACTAATTGGTGCGGACTCCCTAATTGGCTTACTTGTAGTGGGATTGATTCTATTCATCTTATGAATGGCTTAGCAAGTGTAAATCCTGAGAATTGAAGATTATTGGTTCACTTTCTACTTCTCTTTTAAAGTAAAGTACTTATGTGGAACATGCTTCCTCATGGTAAGGCTTCCATTACATGGTAGTCTGCTTGCTGTGAAACAAGCTTTTGTGCAAACTAATATGCTTATTTCTTCCATTAGTTGTGTTTGTATGTTATTGGTGAGATGGAGTTTGCTCATTGAGAAACCATGTTGATTTGTTTTAGGGCAAGTTGCTGGCCATTTGTGTTCAACCAAGAGACCAAGACATCTCATTAGACCCACTTCTCCCAAGTCTCCTGTTGCTAGTGCAAGTGCATTTGAAAGTGTAGAAGGGTCAGATGATGAAGACAATATGACTGGTAATGCTAAACTAGACTTTACATATTTTCATACTAATGGAAATTGTGACACCCTAAAATCGGGGGTCCTTTTTCAACCGTTGACCACTTGTTATCCCGCAGAAATACCCATGATTGTAGCATAACCTGACATCAAGTCTATCACATCCCCTTAACCGGGATTATAACCCACATGTTTAACTCGTGTATGTTTTACCATTTGGCCCTATTGAGGTCAATATGCTACAATTTATACTCATTAGATGTCCACTTATATCCATGGAACCAAAGAACACATAGTCCAAAAGTATGGCAATGCATTCTTAAAATTTCTAATTTTTGATAAAGCTACCGGTAGGTTTTGTTCACTGGAAAAGTTCTACCAGTAGGTTTTAACATACTATTTGTAGGTTTTACTTACTGGAAAAATTCTACTGGTAGGTATTGCCCTAAAATTAGGGGTCCTTTTTCAACCGTTGACCACCTATCAACGGTTGGTCAAGTTTTAACAAACTCATTGGTAGGTTTTGTTCACTTGAAAAGTTCTACTAGTAGGTATTGCCATATGGACAACACCGCTCTGTACTAATTCTACCGGTAGGTTGATGTTCTATTGGTAGGTTTTGTCTAGAAATATCTGTTTCACCTGTTTTTCATTTCCCAATCTATTCAAAACTATTGCAACACCATCCAAAACATGCTTAATAAGGTTTTTCACATAAAACCTAATATATACAAGGTTTATTACAATTAATTTCATATGACTACAAGCCCAAAATATACTTTTTACCAAATTTATACAATGGTTTTACAAAAATGGATTCAAGGCTACAAGTCGGCCTTTTCTTCATCTTAGAGGTCCCAAATAAAAGTCCCCCGCTGGTACAAACCCCGTACCTGAAATATGTTCCCATATAGGGTGAGCCACGCTCAATAAGGTAACTCCTAAAGAAACTACTCCCCAACCTAGATGCATATGAAATGTCACATGCAACATTCAACAAGCAACAACCATCCCAAACAAGAATATGTGATTCAATGTTGGACATCTATCATGTCATGCTGTGAAATGAGATGAGATTCACTCATGCCCTTTTTCCCGAGCCCTCCCGGCTCCTTCCACACAATGCAATGCCAATGTATGAAAAATCTGCCATTGATGAATTATATCCAATGATCATTTTGAAATAAAGCATGTGGTTATAAAACCAAGTCATTGTTGGATATTACACATCGAATGACTATTTTATAAAACAAAACCATGTGTCTTTGCTGGGTAGCAGACTTTTGGTGTCTCACCGCCGGCTCCACAAACCGATACACTTTTTTGGACTTGCACCGTAGGAAGTGTATAAAACCAGTAGCCGGGTCTTGCACCGGAGGGAGAGTCTAGCCCTACTTGCTATAGCCGACACAAGTTTTTCATGCAATTGTTCGACTCTGTTGAACATTAGTCCAACGTTACTGAAACCACTTATCATCCACCAAATATGGTGTTTCATCCAACACATGCACGCATGCTCACACCCCTGACGATTCCCATGAATGCGATGTTCTCGTGCAAATGCAATGTAATGCACAATTGCAATCTCAATGTCATGCCCATATGTAAGGAGTGCCACATGAGCAAAATTAACCACATTTAAACATATTCTATGACAATTTATATCCAAGGTATATAATTACCAATTCCATCACAATGTCGATGTATCTATAGACATAAATCAACATTTTTATATCCAACCATACACACAAGCATGTTATTACATATTATATGTCAATAACACACTTTATTCACAAGGCATAATTAAAGCACAGAGCATGCCCACATTACACCAAATTCCATGGGATTATACAAGTAATTACCACATACTAATTCCATGTGAGGAATTTATTTTAAAACCATTCTATACCCATTTTCATACCCACTTAATCATTTCACCAACATAGATAAATGATACAAGTTTCTATCAAACTACCCATCTCATATAAGCATCCTAGGTTGTAAATAAACCTAAATAGGAAGGAACCCTACCTCTTGAAGCGTAAATCACTTAGTAGAAGCCTTCAAGAATCCCAATCTCGCCCAAAACCCTTGATTTCTTAAAGCTCAAATTTGAAAATTTTAGTGAAATCCATCATTTTTGGTGTGGTTGCGTAGCCTTGGACTAGAGAAGCAACTTTTGATCTTGGCCCGAGTGGATTCGAGCACTAGAATCTTGTAGATTGTAGAGAGAATATAGAGATTTTCCTTTTTTTTTTCCCTCTCTTCCTCTCTCACGTTGAAACCGGCTGATTCAATGGGGAAGAAGTTAGATTTTTCCCCTATTTATAGCCTTAGAATACTTGGCCCACAATGCGCAACACAACCCTCTATTTTTTGGGTCCGTTTTCGCCCCGAAACGATTAAATTTTGTTCCGGTTCAAGTTTAAAATATTTTTATTTTAATTTGCCTTAAATTAATTTATGAATTTTTAAATTTTATTAAAAATTCTATTTTTGGGTCACCTGAGACGAAATTTGCCTCGTATAAATGTAAAAAATTCAACTATCTCAGAATTCGACAAAATTTGATAGGGTAACTTGATTTTGCGAGATGAATCCAATGGTGAGGTCCATTTCGTCATCCGAGTTCTAAAAAATTTTAGGTTTCCAACTCATATTGTAGTAGCAAATTACCATTTTGCCATTTTTCATAAAAAGTTTAAATTTACCTGGGTTTTACAGAAATGTTGTAAGTTGTTTATTTACTATGAATGCTTGTTGTTTAAGTGAATTCTTACTCTTTTTTTTTCTCTCTCTCTCTCTCTAGGGACGTGCTTCTATATGTGTCTATCCTATTGCTTAAATAGGTGTTACTTGTTAGTCCTACTATGTATATTTTTAAGGAGCCTTCCCTTATATATTCATAATTGGTCAAAGAAAAGAAAATCAACCTTTTACTGAATTGTTATTCAAAGTTAAATGAGCAGACTCCTGACTATGAAACCCTGTTTCAGAATCTACCAGACCATGTAAATGCTAATGGAGCGTAGATGCGTATAGCTGCCTCAAGCATGATTCATTCTCATAGTGTATCTAGTGACCTACATGGTATTCAACTTGATCCTGTAGTAGCTGATATTCTTAGGAAAGATCCAGAGCATGAAACTTTTGTACGACTCAAAATATCCCCAACTGGTATTCCCCCTCTTCCTGCCTTGGTGTATGTCATTGTTACCTAAACTTGCATTTTCCAGTTATATTACCTTGCTAATGTTAGAAAATTTTGTACTGGTGGGTTATTGCTGCAGAGATGCAAAGTAATTATATAAGGATTGCATCTTATCAAAAATTGTAAGACTTATGTTGGGAGAAAAATGTTCAAGCTGTATTCTACAGGTGGACTAGACTGTGATGAAATATCTTTAGACATTACTGTTTGCATTCTGAATGGGTCAGGCAGTTCATTTTATAGCCTCCAACAATGATTGTGGAGTTAGAGACTTTGATATGGAAAAATTTCAACTCTGTAAGCATTCTTGTTATCCATAGTCAGTTAATGTAAGTCCTCGTCTGTTTCTCACTCTGTTTGTTAGTCTATTAAACTGCGTAGCATTTTTGCTGATCATTTGGCTGCTTACGTTATAATATGAGAAGATTATATGATATTCTCTTTATTTTTAATTGTTATTTTTTTGTTATTACTTATTAGTGCTTTACTTATGTTCACATTTGCATCTGATTCCAGGAAAACTTTTCCTATTCCTAAGTCTCTTGTTCTTCGTGTTGATGAGCTCACCAGGAATGTGAATGAAAATCATTTAAGAGAAATATTCAGTACGTTCTTATTCTTATCTTTGGGTGCACACTATTTTTTCTAGTAATATTCTTCTTTATTTAACCTAAAATCATGGATTTTACTTTGTGGAAGTTTTGTTTCTAATATTTAAATAGCAACAAAAAGTAATAGTTCAACTAATGGAATTTGGCTATACACACTTGCCCCACTTGATCTTCACTGTTTTTCTGAAACATTTAATCCTTAAGTTATAATTTCATGCCATGTCACAAAATATTGTACTTATTTTTGTTTATACCTACTTTGCAGGCAACTTTGGTGAAGTTGTACATGTGCAGCTAGCAATGGATCATACTGTAAGTTCTAACAGTCAACATCCTCTTCTGGTTGTGAAACAAACTACTTTAATTCTTTTTAGATAACATGGTATTTTTTCATATTTCTAGGTTAACCTTTTGAAAGGGTTTGGATATGTTGAGTTTAAGATGAGAGTTGATGCTGAAAAAGCTCAGTTACACATGGATGGGGGTATGGTTTTACTAACACGCGAAATTCGTTCTCGTTCAAGGTCGATCTCTCCACGGAGGTAACATATGAATTTGTAGATTGTGATGTGTTATTTCATTTTGTGTCCATTCCATTTTGTTTTCTTTGATGTTTTGAGAGGGCAAAAAATTCTTTTGAATTTCACTACTTTTTAAAGTAAATATATCATTACTTGTCAATCTTTCTTTTGTGTGGTGTATTCATCTGCATCAGGGGCCGAGCACCAGGTGCTAGACATGGGAGATCATCATCCAACTCCTCTCCTAGCCCATGGAAGGTCTGTCTCTGTGATGTCTGTGAAGTTTTGATTAAAATTACGCAGTCGAGGATCTAATGTGGCTTAATCTATTCCAATCATGACAAGTAGCCCATAAAATATCAAGAAGTCATACTCCTAGACGGTAATCTTTTGTCTTGGTGAATAATTCCCTTTTTTCAATAAAACAGTCATAAGAATGCTAATCTTCACATGAACAATGAATGCAACAAATAAAGGTTATAATATTGCTATTCTTATATAATTGTTTAAGGTTTTTCCATTACTGGGATGGGATGTTGCATTTGTCTGTGTGAGGATGTTGATGCTGATGATGAGCACAAAACATTGCATAGTTATTGGCCTTATTTCATGTTTTTTAACTTAAATTTGCATATTAATTATATAAAATTAGTTAAAGTTAGGAATAATGTGGAAATTTTGATGTTGCAGGTAATTATAGCATAAATGATAGCTTTTAGAGATTTGCAACTAAGTGTGAATGTGTGGTGAAGAGATGGACACATTGAGTGAGGATAGGGAGGCTTGGAAGGTGAAGAAACCAAGAAAAATGTAATTTGGATAAAAACCTTCCGGAAGGTTTGGCCATATTCTGGAAGGTTTAGCTCACTGGTTTCACAAGGTCTTGACATAGTACCGCTGTTTTTTCCATGCTTAACCATGATCTACTTCGAATCTGAAAAAGTGCAAAACCTAAAAGTTGTAGATCTGGATGTCTCCTATATTGTTTCAAAATTTTAGCTCAATCCAACGGTTGGATCAACAGTTCTGGCAATTTTACTAAAGGTGGTCCTAAGCTATCACCTTCCAAAAGACCTTCCGGAAGGTTCTACCTACTGGAATCGACCTTCCAGAAGGTTTTGCGTAGAATACTCAGAACGCCTGTAACTCATGCTCCACTTGCTTGGGGGTCCCACCATTGATTCTTCCACTTGTCCCTTGACATCCTTACATATTTACATGTCCCCTACACCCTAGGAGAAGACTTTGGAGGCAATGACATTGATGAGGATAGGAGAAAAGGGGGCAGCCATAATGGTTGCAGGCTAAGAACTCTCCTAGCCTACCAAGCCATTAAAATCACCTCTTATTGATGGGAGGTCTGCACACACAGGCTAGGGAAGCCTCATGGACGAAAAGATATCAAGTCTTCACTATATATTCAGCATTCCACTCACATTTGAAAAGGGGTGGCTACCTAAGCATAGAAAGCTCCAAGGAGGAAGATGATGAACAGTAGATAGAAAACTTGGATTTTTGCATTTTCTTCTATTGTTTCACTTATATTTTATTGTAAGACTCTTGTAAACTTCATTATTTACTTTTAATGTCATTGATTTCAAGTGCTTTGCAAGTTTAACTGAGTGTCTTAGTTTTTACCATTGTTGTTTTAAGTTTTCTTCATTTCCTAGCTTTAAAATGGGTATTGCATATTTTTTCTTCATAGTTTAAGGTTTCTTGCATTAAGATTAGTTCCACGTGATTCCTGCATAAAGTTAACATTTTTTGCTATGCCTTTTTGGACTAATTGTACTTTGATGGACTTTAAGTAATGACATTTCAGGTCCTAAAGTGAACAAAGGCTCAAGAACAACAAAAATCACACTTGAATATAACACCAGCACAATAGGGAACAAAATTGCAAAAGGTTGAGAGAAAGCAAGAACGTTCAAACGTCCTTTGAAATCCTGCCAAGACTAGCTGCTGAGATATGGCGTGTTGCAGTCAACAAAGGGAAAATGCTGAGGTACTTGAGTACCACGTTTGAACGCCAACTCACATTCGAACGTCCTCTGAAATCCTGAGAAGACTACACCACTTGAACTTGGCATGTTGCATTAAAGAAAGAAGAACCACAAAATAGAAGTACTTGAGTACAACGTTCGAACGCCTCTCCACGTTCGAACGTTGTCTTGAGTGACTGAGGACCAAGTTGCTGAGTGTAAAGTCAAATTTGTTTAAGATGTATGGAAGTGACTATCACATAAGCCACAAGCCACTTGGGTGGAAGGAATCAGACCCCATCTAGCGTTTGAAACGTCCTAAAAGCAAAGACATAGACAACGTTTGAACGACATCTCACGTTCGAACATCCCAAAAGAAAAGACAAACTTAACGTTTGAATGCCAGATCACATTCAAACGTCCTCTGGAGACTGCCTGCAGAGTAGTTAGTTCCCATGGGCAGCAAATGCTATTCACTCATCCTCTCTTATCTCCTACCCCTTCCCTTTCCTTTTCTATAAATACTCCCATGTTGGGAGCTTAAAGGGCATTCTTCCTCTTGTAGAGTAAAAGGGGAACAATCTTTTTTCTTGTAAAATAGAGAGTTTTTAGTAATCTAGTTCTTGAGCATTTCGTATTTATGTTTTCATTTTGCATTTATATCAACCATGATGAAGGCTTAGACTCCCTTTGTAGTTGAAGTCTTTTATTTACTTATGCTAAGTCTTTAAAGTCATATTGTAACAACCATGATGGAGGCTTAGACTCCCCTTGTAGTTGTGCTTGCTTTTATTTACAAAGTATCAAGAGAGATAGTTCATCTTTTGGTTGTGGTGGAAACCCTCCAAAAGTAACAAGCTTTCTTCTACTTTTATGGTTCATGTATTTCACTTCCATTGCTTGAACATCCTTCTTTCTTAGAAGAGTGAAACTCTTCCACTTTTCTAGAGCTTTACCAAAGCCGTGAAGGATAGAAAGTGATTCACTTATTCTTCATTGAAGATAAGCTCTTTGTTTAGTTTGCTTCACTTAGTAGCTTCTCTACTTAGAGAGATGAGTAGCATTCACTTTTCTAGCTTTGCCAAGGCCATGAAAAGTGAGTAGTTCCTCATTCACTCTTTAGTAAGAAGTGATGAGTATGTAAAGATTATCCAAAAGCTATGTGTGTGCAACTCCTTCATGCTTTAATGCTTTATATTCGACCTGTTCAATGGATGGTTGAAAATACATAGCAAAGTTGAGGTACTTTGTATAACCAAGGGATTTCTCTATGATACAGATGACTCTTCCATAGAAAGACCCGTTGGTTCAAGACACCTCGGCTAGCTTTTCATAACAACCTTTCAATCTCCACCATTATTGCGCTTTATTCAAAGGATGGACCCTTAATGCCATGGTTGGATACCTTGTAGGAACACTTGCTTGTTTATAGATGGGTTAAGTCTCGGTACAGATAATTATTGTAAACTTCTAGAAAGGTATCGGAATCATGTGCTTAATTCTCACAATCCATCTTTATCTTTCGATTAACTTGCTGTTGACAAGGGAGTTAATCGAGTTATAAAGCACAAACATAATAAACCAGATAATCTATTACATGCCCTAATCCTCGAGCGAAAGGGTGGCTATTACATTTTGAGAATCTTATATTTTGTCAAAAAAACTCTTGAAAAGAATCTTCTATTCTATTCAAGAATTCCACCACTCCAAACTTTCGAATTTTTCAGTTATTTGGTCTCTATTATTGCTTACTTCAAAACACCGACATAGTTCCCTGTGGATTTGACTACGGAGTTAACTAGATTATTACTACAACTTGACCAACTGTACTTGGGTGTACACATTTCGGATCAAGTCACCATGTTTCCTTTCTTCATTATGTCTCTTTACATTATGCATTTCCTTCTTGCTTTCATGAGTAGCAAGATTTTTAGTTGGCTAATCCAAGGGAGACCTCCTCTTGGGTTTGCCATTTCAACTCATTTTCTTTCCTCCTCTCGGTGTATGATGGTTTGGTTTAACTGAGTTGAGTGTGGATGCAGTTGTGAGTCTTTGATATCCCGTAGGCCTGGTCACGGGTTATGATTGGATCCTCACTTCCATCTCGTCCATCACTTCTCACGTATTAATCGTTCATCTATGCACCATTGGAGGAAGATTTCGAGTTGACTAGGCATTTCCATTGGAATGACCTCTTCGGATTACCCAACACTTGTTTTATTCATTTTCATCAAAAACACAAATCACAAAACTCAACCATCAAAAAGATTTTACACTTTTCATTTTTGACAAAATCACCTTCACACACTTGAACTTTCCTACCCCAAGGAGATGACCTTGGAATACTTTTCCAAGTAAAACACGACACTCAAAAGACTCCTTGCACTTGGGAAGCATTTTTGTTCACACGCACACATTTTGTTCATTTCATTTCCACCACCATTCCGTTGCCCTATCTATTGCATCATTTCGAGGGAGAGTGACACTCTCCGATTCCTAAAAGCCATACACATATTGAGGGATGATGTAAAGAGGTTAGGAACTACAACGAAAAACTTCAAGCATTTTTGGCACCGTTGCTGGGGGAGGGTTAAGCGTCGAGTTCAAAGGTGATTTTGGGATGGCATAGGTAAGTCTCATGATTTTCATCATGGGCCAAGGTATGTCATCTAACTTGTATATATTTTTGTTGTAGTTTGTGTTTTGTATTATGTTTCCTAATTTTTATGAAAATATATCAAATGCCCAAAATTTTGAAAAAGTGTGTGACATTTGTGATGAGTATGGACACATCACTAGTGAGTACCCAATAAATGCCTCTTATTTTGAAAATATTTGCCAGATTTGTGGTGAGTATGGACACATCTCTGGTGAGTGCCCAATAAATGCCCCTTATTTTGAAAACATTTGCGAGATTTGTGGTGAGTACGGACACATGACTAGTGAGTGCCCAATAAATTATCTGGTTCATGACTTTGCATGCGAAGGTTCAAATTCAAATTTGGCCTCTGAAAATTTTTTACCCCCGACCACTATGTTACACCAAGTTACCCGAGTTATGGTTGGGAGAATGAACCTTATAATTTTTCATCCAATCTCATACCACCAAATGAATTTTCCCATTATCTAACTTATAAGGACTCAAATTGAACAAGAATTTGAAAATAAGCTTTATGAGTTTATGCAATGCCAAATGGAAGTCAATGCCCAAGTAGCCCAACAACTTTTTGAAATTAGAGATGGACTTAATACATTGACTAATGCTATAATTTATGTGCATGAAGAACAACATCTTGAGCATAGTCAATGTATTGAGGATGATCACCTCAATGAAATGCATATTGATGTTGAATCCCCCACCACTCTAGATTGTGAAAACTTTGATGAAGTTATTATCTCACATGAGGCTAATGAGCCCAAGGTCATTTTGTTATCTTTAAGTGGTGTTGGGATTCACATTTTCCAACTTGGGGAGGGCATTGAAATGGAGTTAATGTAGAAAATTTTGAAGAGAAATTGTATACTCCATTGTGGAAATTGCATAAACTTGTCTATACCTCAGTTCGGTTGAGAATTTTGAGTCAACATCCTTTCTATGTTTGGTTGATGGTTTAAGAAGGACATTTATTATCAATGGGCCTTTGGTCCAATGGTACTAATTGTCTTGTCACAGGGCTTTTCCTTGTTAAGGTCAAGGGTTCAAATTCCCCTTCCCCTTCCCCCTGCCAAAAATAGAAAACAAAAAAAAAAGAGAAGGGCATTTATACAACAAAAAAATTTTAAAATAAAAAAAATCAATGGGCGAAAGCTCATATCCGAATTGTAGCCGAATTGACATGTGCCATTTTTATTTTATTTTCATGTACATAGTAGTTAGACTTATTTTATTGTTATATTTTTCTTCTCTTGATGTTGTAGTGTAGAAATTGTGTACCTCTCCCCAATTTGGACTCAT